GCCACCTCGGCATCTTTTGTCTCCGCACCTCGCCACCTGACTGGAACCAGCTGGGTGGAGATGCCAGCGTGGGCGAAGAAGATTGGACCATGTGATGGATTTATGGGTGTGGGGATAAGATCATGAACTTTCAACTGGGTGGAATCCCAGGAAGTTTTTCAGATTTGGGATCCCACAGATGTGCCAAGATGCCTGAATTATTAAATTGGAACTTTAAGGATCATTTTGCCTTGGACTCTATTTAATTCTGCATGATACTTGGAACGCTGACAAATAGGTAGATTAATAGTAATAGATATTACTTTTAACAAATCTAAAAATATCATATTAAGAATTCTCATACTTTGCATTGCTTTGGAATAGACTGGTATGAGGACTGACTCTTAAGAAATCTTTTCTCCCTCATCCTATGCTAGAGGAAATTGAATCCTGAGTCTGATTTCTGATTAGTTCAAATAAATAGCAATAGCAATAGCCTATATACAGCTTTATCTCTAAGCAGTTTAGAGAGTCAGCCTATTGCCCCCAACAATCTGAGTCTTCATTTTACCCACCTCAGAAGGATGGAAGGCTGAGTCAACCTTGAGCCTGGTGAGATTTGAACTGCCAAATTGCAGGCAGCTGGCAGTTAGCAGAAATAGCCTGCAATATTGCACTCTAATCACTGGGCCACTGTGATTCTAACAATATAATCCTCAATCAGCCCAGCAATGAGTCTGTAGCTTTAGACTTTCAGTATAAGATGTTCTAAGATTCAGAGAAATGAATTTTCTTGTTAGTAAGGGAACTGTGGGGTATCTTTTAAGTATATGTTCCTCCATGAATGTTTTCTCCTTGCAAGGCAGAAACAAAGGAATTTCTTCCTTTTCCAGTTAAAAAGCATGGCGCAACAAATTAGAAGAAAGTAGAAATAATTTTAAATCGATTCAATGTAGTACAAACCAGGTAATTAGACAGTGATCACTTTAATAATATAGTAGACTAGAAGGAGCATCTCTTTGCAATGAAACTACAGTAGAAATAAGGGAAAATGAGTTTTGGAGCAGGGAAATTGTTATACCACTTGCTACATAGACTCTTGATATGGCATCAAAATAATAAGGAGGGAAATCACACTGATCAAACATGTTTGGATTATAAATATGTTCAAAATACTGTTTATAAAAAAGGGTTATCAGGTGTGAAACTTGGAAATTTGGATGTTGTTAAAAAGCAGCAGTGATGGAGTAAATTCTTAATACTTTACTTCCATCTAGTGACAGTCTAGATTTTTGCAGCCCAGATCTGCTAGTTTACTAACTTCACTGTGCCACAGTATGGCTTAAGCATTGCAGGAGTGGTATAATGTATATAATTTAAGGTAGAATGACAGGAAATGTTAAGAATGATGGGAATTACATCAAAATATAGAAAGCGGAGATCCCTCAATTATTTGTTGCAGGTGACCATGAATGGATTGTGGGACTATTGGATTTCCGCCTACACAATTACTTCAGTGAATAAAATCTCTGAAAGCATTATGTCTTGTACAGATGCATTATAGATCATTTCTGAGGAATGGCACCTCTATTAAGTGATGAAGGGAGGTTGGTGTGAAGTGATTGGGGATTACCGTATCTACATGGATAATTCTCCCCCCCCCCATCTCAGATTTCATCTGACAGATTAGTGCTAATGGTGGATGCATATTACTGTAACTTCTTAACATGTAGTAGCAAATGAGGCTCAGCAAATTCTTTACACTTTATGATGCATGGATATTAAACATTTAGTTTCCAATCCCTTTGTCTTTTGAAGAACAGGTCAGAACTAGAAAATACTTTATTCTCACTTTAACACAAAGGCTATTTTTTGGTGACTGTGCATCTGTGTTCCACAATTGGAAAAATCCTGCCATTAAGAGAATGCTAGAAAATGTGAAAACAAAAATTACAGAGGAATTAATTTAAGTTTTGGCAGGATTCTGATAGAAAAGATACAAAAGATAAAACTAAGCAACTTTGGGAACCATGGAATTACTTTAAGTTGGTCAAGGCTGCACATTACAGGTTTTGGTGTTCAACATGTCCTTGAGATTAAATAAATCCTTGATATAAGGAAGACATATGATAAAATGAATAGGTTAGAATCATGAAACATTTTGTGAAAAAATGGAAAGATACAATGGAAATAAATCATGCATGAGAATAAATGGGATTCTTAGTGAATATTTAATGCTGAGCAGAAAACCTCTCTGGGGAAGTTAGATACATGTTGATTATGGATGTGACTGTGCATGCATTTTTGCATTTGAACAATGTCACATTGACGACTCAGAACTCAGATGTTTTGCAGTAAATGTTAGATACATTATAAAATGAAAGAAGAAGTGGGGATCTAACATTTGTTTTCTGCTGATTGCATCTGCCAGGCAAAATACAGAATACTGTTATACATGAATTTAAAAAGAGATTTTACTCTGTGTATCTTAATAATCTGTTCATCAAAATGGAGAAACAGAAAAAAATGTTAAGTTGTGCAAATGATAGTAGAAAAGTAGTGCACAGTTTATGGTGTATTGCTTGTGTGAAAGACATGAAAAGTTATTTATTTATTTTTAAAGCATTTTTTTTACAAACTCTCACAAGGTTCAGCCAGACAATGACCATGTTTAAGGACATGCTTGCTTCTGCTAATTTTATCACGTAGAATTGAGAGTTGGATATATTAAGAAAAACCTAAAATTGGATACAGTGGGAATATGTACTCAAGAAGAGAGTGATTAAAGGAAAGATAGAATTATGAATGAAGAATACTGAATAAATGTAGAGTGAATACAAAAGTAAGTTATCAATGCAACAAATGCATTGTGGTGGTTTGGTCCCACATAGATGGAATGTAGGAGGATCATGCAAATGTACGAATAAAGAATGAATGGGTTGAAAAGGAAAAAAAAGTCAAGAAAAAGTCTGAATGTTCTGTTCTGAGACCTGATTAATTCTTAATTTTATCCCATGATTGGTGCTGGTCAGTTTCTATGCCTACACAAGATTCTGATGAAACACCTGGGATTAGATCTAATTTCAGGACTTTGATTTCCTAAACTATGCTTCACAACTGAGGTTCTTCCTTTTATTTGTTTGTTTGTTTGTTTTGGCAGGTTTGTAATTACAGCTGTGCACATTGGACAGTGCCCACACGGAGAAGTTAGTATGTACCTATTTAATAACAGTGCAAAATGTGGATCTCTCTCTTTTTCTCCCCCTCCCTCCCTCCCCCCTC